TCCTGACATTTGCGACAATATGGATATAATTGGAGGACATTATGCTAAATGAAATCAGCCAGGCAGAGAAAGACAGGTATGTACTGCATAGTACCACTTATATGTGGAACCTAAAAAAAAAAAACTTTGCTCTGACCAGTAGGGCTCACTAGGTTGGACACTGTTCCGCAAAAGAAAAGCTTGATATACTGCAAAATTTGAGGCCCATCCTACTGAACTGGAATCTGAAATTTAACAAGATTCCCAGGTGATTTAAATGCACCTAAAACTGTGATAAGGACTGGTAAAGAAGAGGCCCTTCCCAGGGAAGATACAAACAACAGGTGCATATGTAGCTCAGGTGGGAACTTTCTGTTACTTGTGTTTAATTAAAGCTGAGTAAGGCAGAACCACAGAGAGTCTAATTTCTCATAATAGATTGACATATAAACAAACACACATACACATAGATCAGTGGTTCTCAGTTGGGGACAGTTGCCCTCTCTTCTACCCCCATCCCCTAGAAGACAGTGGGCAATGTTTGGAGACATTTTTGGTTGTCACACTGGGTTGCTAATGGTATATAGTGAGTAGAGGCTAGGGATGCTGCTCAAACATCTTTGATGTTTGCACAGGGCAGTCCCCACAACAAAGAATCATTTGGCCCAAAATGTCAATAGGGGAAAATATTCATGGAAAAGAGTGCAATAATTTGACTACACAGATCTGCAGGAATGAATTTCATATGTGGACATTCTGCATCTCAAGGTCTGGGTCTGTGCTGCTTTCAATATTTTGGGTACCCTGGTTAAAAGCTTACAAAACCACTTACCTGCTTTTGCTAGCAAACCCGAAGTCAATGATAACCTGTATAAGCATATAACAGGTTCCTAAAACCTGTTAAGTGAAGAAACAATAACGGAGACAGAAAACTAAGTTACTGTTTGGTTTAAAACCCAATCCTACTGAAGAAGGAAGTGGACTTAGACCTCACATCTAGAACCTCCTTACCCAAAAGACTCCAATAGTCTATACCTTCATTGTATACAATCCCTTGTCTGCAATATCAAAAATCGAAAGACTACACAAAGTTTTTTGCTAAATTGTGGCAGCAAAGCTTCTTACCTGAACTCATTTAGCAGGAAAACCTGAATAGATATGAGGCTATTTATTATCTTAATTATCCCACTTACTGTAAACGTTCACATGGTTCACTACAAAAATACTCAGAGGTTTGCTTAGAAGGGGGTGCCACAGGCTTTGCTGGAGCTGTTACATAATATATGGTGGATGCTCCTTATTGCCTTTCTAAAATTTGAAAGCTAGGGGGAGGCAGGAGAGGATAAAGAGGGTGATAAATGATGATGGAAGGAAACTTGACTTGGGGTCATGAACACACTATACAATATACAGATGATGTCTTATAGAACTGTGCCCCTGAAACCTAAATAATTTTATTACCCAATGTTATTCCAATAAATTAAAATAAAATTTGAAAACTTTAGGATTTTTGAAAACATGTAAATTAAAAAGTTTTGGACAAAGATTGTGGACCTCAAATGACTAAAATATAGTTAACACTCAGAAAATATTTGCTGACAGCATTCATATGTATATATACATTTGAAAAAACACCTAGTCAAATATGTGTGTATACTTGTATATACACACACAGAGAGACACATATATGCATGCACATAGACATCCCTACATTAGGGTACTGCACACAGTAGGCCAGGCTTGCAGCTTCAAATTCTATAAAGATCAACTAATTTTGCAAAGAAACTTTTTTCCAAGACTATAACCTCAAACTTAAACCCTCATATGCTTCTGGATATAAAGTAAGGAATAGAGAACAATTTAGGGTAAGTTCATTCACCATACCAGAAGTACTAATTCCAGTACAGTAACATAATTAGTTTGTTTTCTCCCTTTCCATCTATCTGTCTTCTCACTTTCATACATGTACACAACCCTGCAATGTGTAATAGCTCTACAAGTACCCAGCTGGCTCTGAAAGGGTTACATCACTAGTTGTCAGCCCTGAAAGATGCCTGGGGGCATAACTCTTTCTCCACAAAACTCCTGTTTCCGTCCCTGATAGGCTCTACCAGACTTGTTTGTTGACTGTTAAATGGTGTGCTCAAGAGACTAGTTCAGGGAAATAGCAGGTTGTTAGGAAGAAAGTAGTAAGAAAATGCTGAGAGCAAATGTATTCAAATCAACATTTGTATGTGCCTACCTTGTAAGATAAGGCTTAGGAATAGATGGGGATGCCAGCCAATTTCCAGAAGCCATAGAGATCCGTGAGTTTGCACCATGCTGAGAAACATGCATCATGCTTGTTGCTGAAAACACTGAACACAATGGAAACATTTTAAACTTTTAAAAAATCCTTTCTGCTTGTCATGGCACTGCCAAGATTCACTAATCACCATTCAATTTTAATGGTCTTTTCATTACACTGTGAAACAATCTCTCCCGCCTTTTCCTAAGAAAACACACCTCCTTCTCATGAAAATGAAATAACATATGGTATTATTTTAATAAGTTGAAAAGAAATCTTGAAAAGCTTTTGTGAAGCTGTGCTCTAATAAAACTCTAAGAACAGTGATATAGAAGAGGAAGAAATATTTTGCTGCAGTTATGCTCAGCCTATTGTTTAACACATACAATTCTAATGCTAAGGTTGGAGAAGGAAAGCGCTTTGCCAAAGTCTCTGTAACTGTTTTACCACTAAAGCAGTTTACACATGGACTCTGCCCCTGGGTTGAGAAGTCCTATGACCTTCTCATAGGCATAGGACTTCAAGAAGGAGCTGCCGTATTTCTCTTCTCAGGCTCCCAGGTGTCTCAAGTAGGGAATGGGACAGGGCTGAAAAGCATGGGCAAGCCTCTTGCCAAGACCGTGGATGAGATCATCATTAACCCCACCCCAGCATCCAGCCCAGCTTCTTCAGAATTTCATAGGCCACAGCCCTTGGCCTGGCCTCCTGCCAAGTTCTCAAAACAGGCAAAACTAAAAGTGGTTGCTCCCCACAGAAAATTTTGGGATTCTTATATTATACAATTATTTTAAACATGTTCCTCTTGTGTAGTATAATTACAGAAGAGCAGATTAGGATCTCAAAAAATACTCTTTTATTTCCAAAAAGCCTGTCCCATATTAGTTTCCTTTTAAAATGTCCTCTCAGATCCTTAAACAGCTTTCAAAAAGAAATGTTCTTTGGCAATGGCAAAGATTGAAGACATGCACTGGATAATTAGCTCATTCCTAAGAGAAAAGATATATTAAAATATTATGCACTCGTCATGCTTGACCAGAAAACAAATATAACTTTCATCCATGACAAGTATTTTCAGTTCAATTCTTTAAGGGTTCCATTCTATTTTGGCTTCTGTATAACAATACTTGAAAGCTATAATTATACTCTCTGTAATCAGCCCATTCCCAGTGTAATTAAGAGTACCACAAATTTAAAACTATGACCTTACTACTAAGGAAAAAAAGTGTGTGTAAGAGAGAGAGTTTACATTTCATGTAAAATGCCCTCCTATTATGCCGACAAATTTAAAATGTAAAAAAAAACCCCAAAAGAAACAAAAAAAACCCTTCCACAATAGAATCATTTTTAAGAGGCTATCATTATGTTCTTGATAATAAAATTGTTTTTCCTCCATCTTTTCTAGCATCTGACTCTCATCAGTAAACTCTTTCCTGCCCTAGCCAGGTGGCTCAGTTGGTTGAAGCAATCATCCCATACACCAAAAAGTTGTAGGTTCGGTCCCTGGTCAAGATGCTTACAGGTGGCAATGGATCAATGTTTCTCTGTCTCCTTTCCTCTCTCTCTAAAATCAAGAAATATATCCTCAAGTGAGGATTAAAATAAATAAATAAATAAATAAATAAGCAAGCAAACAAGCAAGCTTTCCTATCAAACACTGTGCTCTTTCCATATGTAAACTCCTTCAGATGCCTCTCAATTCTCCCTCATTCAACTACCATCCACTATGGTGATAAAGATGTATGGGAAGTGCTGCCTGGAACAACATCATGCTAGTATAAACCAAATTTTAATTGGCAGAGAAGTCCATCAGTGAAGTACATTAACTTCTAAGCAATGTGAATAAAATTTTACCTTAACAATGAATCAGGAAGTTGAGCGCCAAACATTAATGTACACATATTGTAATGGTTCAAACAAACCATTTGATAAATATAATAACAGCCACATTAATAAAAAAGAGTAATAATAACTAACACCATATGCTTACCATGTGCCAGTACTGTGACAATCTTAGACAAACTATCTCATTTAATTTTCACAAATGATCCCTGAGATAATACAATTATTGACTTCATTTTTCATGAGGAAATTGAAGCTCAGAAATGTTAAAATGACTGTCCAGATGAATTAGCTGGTAAGAGCTGGGCCAGTCTTGAAGCCAGGTCCAACTGAGTCTCAAGCTAGTGCTGTGTTTACAGATTTCAGGCTAGACTGCCTATGGATTATAAACTACACAAGCAATTTAACCCAAATATTCTTGCTCTTTTCTTTGTATTTATTTATTTTTTAGAGAAAAAGGAGGGAAAAAGAAAGAGAGAGAGAGAGAGAAAGATCAATGTGTGGTTGTCTCTTGCGCACTCCCTACTGGGAACCTGGCCCACAACCCAGGCATGTGCCCTGACTGGGAATCCAATTGGTGACACTTTGGTTTGCAGGCTGGCACTCAATCCACTGAGCCACACCAGCCAGATCTTGCCCTTACCTCTATACAAGGCTCCTGGTGAACTGCAACTGTTAACCATTCAATGTGGGGTAGAGGGATTGATGGTAGTGAAAGCAGAAAAGCAAGATAACTATTTATCAAAATTCTCCTTTCCCATTAAATTCAAGAATTTCTTTCTGTATTCTGTGAAAGCTGATACAATCTAAGTTAAAATTACATAAGGGTTTAATCTCAGCTGATAAACTACTAAAGCACCTATCACAAAACAGAATGCACTCTTGTATTTTTCAGATTAAAGAAGCTGATTGACCAAGAAACTGAATTCCAGGAGAAGAAAGAACAAGAAAAAGAGAAGAGGGTCACCGCCCTGAAAGAGGAGTTGACCAAACTGAAGTCTTTTGCTTTGATGGTGGTGGACGAACAACAAAGGCTGACAGCACAGCTTGCCCTTCAAAGACAAAAAATCCTAGACCTAACCACAAGTACGAAGGAAACACATGCTAAACTAGCCCTTGCTGAAGCCAGAGTTCACGAAGAAGAGCAGAAGGCAAGCAGATTAGAGAAAGAACTGCAAACACAGACCACAAAGTTTCACCAGAACCAAGAAATAGTTATGGCGAAGCTCACCAATGAGGACAGCCAAAATCGCCAGCTTCGACAAAAGCTGGCAGCACTCAGCCGGCAAATTGATGAGTTAGAAGAGACAAACAGATCTTTACGAAAAGCAGAAGAGGAGCTCCAAGATATAAAAGAAAAAATAAACAAGGGAGAATATGGAAACTCTGGCATCATGGCTGAGGTGGAAGAGCTCAGGAAACGTGTGCTAGAAATGGAAGGAAAAGATGAAGAGCTCATAAAAATGGAGGAGCAGTGCAGAGATCTCAATAAGAGGCTTGAAAAGGAAACATCACAGAGTAAAGACTTTAAACTTGAAGTTGAAAAACTCAATAAAAGGATTATGGCTCTGGAAAAATTAGAAGATGCTTTCAACAAAAGTAAACAAGAGTGTTACTCTCTAAAATGCAACTTGGAAAAAGAAAGGATGATCACAAAGCAGTTATCTCAAGAACTGGAGAGTTTAAAAATAAGGATCAAAGAGCTAGAAGCCATTGAAAGTCGGCTGGAAAAGACAGAATTCACCCTAAAAGAAGATTTAACTAAACTGAAAACATTAACTGTGATGCTGGTAGATGAACGGAAAACAATGAGTGAAAAATTAAAGCAAACTGAAGATAAGTTACAAGCTGCTGCTTCTCAGCTTCAAGTGGAGCAAAATAAAGTGACAACAGTTACTGAGAAGTTAATTGAGGAAACTAAAAGGGCACTGAAGTCAAAAACCGAGGTGGAAGAAAAAATGTACAGTGTAACCAAGGAGAGAGATGATCTAAAAAACAAACTGAAAGCAGAAGAAGAGAAAGGAAATGATCTCCTGTCTAAAGTTAATACGTTGAAGAATAGGCTTCAATCATTGGAAGCAATTGAGAAAGATTTCCTTAAAAACAAATTAAGTCAGGATTCTACTAAGTCCACAACAGCATTACACCAAGAAAACAATAAGATTAAAGAGCTCTCTCAGGAAGTAGAAAGACTGAGACTGAGGTTAAAGGATATGAAAGCCATTGAGGATGACCTCATGAAAACAGAAGATGAGTATGAGACTCTAGAACGAAGGTATGCTAATGAACGAGACAAAGCTCAGTTTTTATCTGAAGAGCTGGAACATGTTAAAATGGAACTTGCCAAGTACCAATTAGCGGAAAAGACTGAGTCCAGCCACGAACAATGGCTTTTCAAAAGGCTACAAGAAGAAGAAGCTAAATCAGGGCATCTCTCAAGAGAAGTAGAAGCACTGAAAGAGAAAATTCATGAATACATGGCAACTGAGGACCTGATATGTCACCTCCAGGGAGACCATTCAGTTCTGCAAAAGAAACTCAATCAACAAGAAAACAGGAACAGAGACTTAGGAAGAGAGATTGAAAACCTCACTAAAGAGTTAGAGAGGTACCGGCATTTCAGTAAGAGCCTACGACCTAGTCTGAATGGAAGAAAAATCTCTGACCCTCAAGTGTTTTCTAAAGAAGTGCAAACAGAAGCAGTAGACAACGAACCACCTGATTATAAGAGTCTCATTCCTCTGGAGCGAGCAGTCATCAATGGTCAGTTTTATGAGGAGAGTGAGGACCAGGATGAGGATCCTAATGAGGAGGAATCTGTGTTGTCCTTCAAATGCAATTCATCTATTCCTTGTCCTGTTAACAGGAAGCTATGGATTCCTTGGATGAAATCTAAGGAGGGCCATCCTCAGAATGGAAAAATACAAACTAAAGCCAATGGTAATTTCGTGCAGCCTGGAGATCTAGTCCTAAGCCATACACCTGGGCAGCCACTTCATATAAAAGTTACTCCAGACCATGTCCAAAACACAGCCACTCTTGAAATTACAAGTCCGACCACAGAGAGTCCTCACTCTTACACAAGCACTGCAGTGATACCAAACTGTGGCACCCCAAAGCAAAGGATTACCATCCTTCAAAATGCCTCCATAACACCAGTGAAATCCAAAACCTCTGCTGAAGGCCTCATGAATTTAGAGCAAGGCATGTCCCCAATTACCATGGCAGCCTTTGCCAGAGCACAGACCCCAGAGTCTAGTGGTTCCGTAACTCCAGAAAGGACAATGTCACCTATTCAGGTTTTGGCTGTGACTGGTTCAGCCAGCTCTCCTGAACAGGGACGCTCCCCAGAGCCAATAGAAATCAGTGCCAAGCACGCAATTTTCCGAGTCTCCCCAGACCGGCAGTCATCATGGCAGTTTCAACGTTCAAACAGTAATAGTTCAAGTGTGATAACTACTGAGGATAATAAAATCCACATTCACTTAGGAAGTCCTTACATGCAAGCTGTAGCCAGCCCCGTGAGACCAGCCAGCCCTTCAACACCACCGCAGGATAACCGAACTCAATGTCTAACTAATGGGGCACTAAACAAAACAACCAATAAAGTCACCAGCAGTATTACTATCACACCAACAGCCACACCTCTTCCTCGACAATCACAAATTACAGTAAGTAATATATATAACTGACCCTCATCCAGTCTATACTGATATTATTGCAAGGAACTCAATCCTTTTTAATTATCCCTCCACATCCCCCAAAGACTGACTGAACTTGTACTTTGGGAAGGTTTGTGCATGAACTGTTCAAGAGTATCTGAAACTAACTGTTGCCTGTGTAGTCATATCAAGTGTGCACTTACTGTATATCTTTTCATTTACATACCTGTATGGAAAATATTTAGTCTGCACTTGTATAAATACATCTTTATGTATTTCATTTTCCATAACTCACATTAATTTGACTGCAACTTGTTTTGGTGAAATACTCTAACATTATAAAGCAGTAAATAATTTGTTGTTTTTACCATTGCTTGCTGAATTTTCTTTGGTCATTTTGTGTTATATTTTTGCATGTACAGTAGAATTTTTTTTCCTGTTCATAATGTCTATTAATTCTTCCTTTAAAAAAAATGAACAAACAGAACCTACTTCCCATTTACAGTCAACTTTTGATCATATATCAGAGGAAGAGAAAATGGTTTAAATAAATAAAAATTTATGTCTCTTTGATTTTGACATGAACTATAAGATCTCTCATGAGCAAACTTAACTTCATGCTTGAGATGTGTCTCAGTATCTTTGCGGCCCAGCATAGTGCTCCACATGTGTTAAGAACTTAATGTACAGATAACAATGAAATAAAATATTAAATACTTCGCTTTTGTGAGCACATGAGCTGATGGTGAAAGTAAAAAGCTTTGAAATGTGCTAGGAAGCCAGAAAAACATTTGGAAATACAAGTTACCTTGACAATCAAGAGTTGACTGTATTTCTACCATAGATGAAAATCCCCATAAAACATATATGCATACATCCAAACCTGGAATCACCCACTATGATATGTCATCTTGAACATTATGTTTCAAAGCAAAAATGTAATTTTTGTTCCTTTTTCCTATTTGGTTCCCCAAATCATTTGGATTACTTAAGGTAGGTGCTCCCCACCTTGCTTGTAAGTGGGCTGCCTTTAGAAGCTTACAACTTAATTGTGTTTGTTTTTTTTACTGCAAGCAAATAAAAGCCAAAGAAAGTTACAAACACAAGTTATAGGAAAGGAATGTTTTTAAAAGATCTTCAAGTATGTTGAAGGATGTTTCTTCTATGATTATTGTTATTGCCAATTAAAAGGTAGGTGATAAAATCTGAACCAAGGCAGCCTAAAAAAATCATACCCAGCTCATGGGACTCTCCAAGCATAATCCATACTTCTGTAGCAAAGAACAGCTTTCAGAGGAACATTTTAAATTACAAATCTAGTCCCCGAGTCACATTCCAAAAAGATGATTTCAGACAAAGTAGCTCATTGCCATTTTCCCTTTTCCAACCTCCTGTTAATTTAATATGGTTAATGTTATTGCCAGTTATTGATTTTAAACACAATTCATTTAGACACCCAGACAAACTATAAAGATCTTTAGAAGTAAAAGAAATCTTTCACAGTTATCCTCCATTTCCCTGTAAAATCAGTTTCATATTAGCAAAGCAAGGATTTGTTGACAGAAACACTTCCATGGTGATGAACTACAACACCAAAGCTGTGGGCTTGCATCATCATTAAATAAATCTGGATGAAAGTTTAGGCTGGTGATGAATGAGAAAGCTTCTGTTTAAACACATTTATCTTGGGAATCGGCCGTGACCCAACTGTATTACAAAATACATGATGGCCTAAGTGTTTTTCAAAACTATTTTTATTTTTAAGTCACCTTGGGCTAGAACTTTAAAAGGAACTGCATACTTCATTTTACAAATTACAAAGTAGACATTGATAATGCTGCTGGGTAAGATGTTTTTCTAGATAATAATCAAGAGAGGGCACTAGTAACATTTTGAAGAGTACTGATCGACTGATCATACAATTTTTAACAGAGACCAAAAAGAATTAAAGGGTAAGGTCTTTCCAGTGCTTCCCAACCTTTGTCACATAATGGCACAAACAGAAAATATGTTTCCATGGCACTGGGGGGAAATGGATGAAGAGGCAGAGATGATCAGCCAAGGACTCCTGTCACCCCCCCAGGTTCCTCCTGGCTGCCCTGAGTGCTGAGGGTATGATTCACTCTTGGCATACCTGTAACTGAGAGAGTTTGAGGAGCTCTGGGCTATTAGTAGTCTGTCTGTTTTATAAGGATTCAATTTTTTTAATAATATTTGAGCCAGGGCAATTCTCTCCAATAAACTTAATACCAAAAGTCCTGTGCTCCATGATTATAATGTTAAGATTCTCATTTTATCATCTGTTCCAGATATTAACTACAAACAGGCTTCTCAAGTGATTAACATTATTGGATTTACCGAACTTTCAAGGAACTAAACCTTTTAGAGATTCCTCTACTGGGAGGATTACTTCAGTATAGTAATTCATATGAGCATCAAAATTTAGGAGCAACTGTCAGATTAATAACATACACAGATTATTCAAAGTGCTACTAATTAAAGCTTGTTGTAAAGACAGTGCTTATTTCTAAGTGAAATCATTCCTTTTTCTATAACATCATACCTAAAATGACATTCTAGATTTTTAGCCTTTAATTTCAAAAATAATTTTTTTACATCTGTGTGTGTGTGTGTGGTTACAGAGCTTTCTTTTTCACTCACATATAATCACAGAAGAACCTTGAAAACTAGGAAGGAGAGAGGAAGTGACACTAAACAATCTTTGTATGAGATATGTGAGAGGTGGAGGGTTCCATTCCTGGAGAAGAGAAGGCCCAGGAGAGGGCCATAGAAGATAGATTACTTTTATGTACATCTGAAAAAATAATATCTTCCCTTTCACTGGTCAAAGCCCAGCTTCAGAACCAAGTTTCATTTTACTCGTCTCCCTGTCTCTTTAACTTTTTGATCTGTGGCATCCTATCACAGATTTGAATGATTTTACCACATTCTTCTTTCCATTTATAAGCAATGGCAAAACTTTCCCCTCAAGGATGCATTGCTCTCTGGGGGCACTGGAGAAAATAAAGTCATCACCCTCACTAGAAAGACAATGTGCATTATTATAGTTGGATCTTTACATATAAAGGAGCGTCTCTATACTTGTTCAAGATGATGACTGTATTCCATAAACTCTACTCTGAAGGTTTCTGCAACTACAGTTCACAATACCAAGACATTTTATGTGAGGTCTTCATGACACCCAAAGGTTAATTTTATCCTTAGGGTGTACTGTGAGAAGGCTATAAAAGAGATAGTTAATTCAATTTTTTCAGACTTGTAGTCTAAGGATTCTATGATCTTTATTAATTGAAGTAAAACTCCACACAAAAGCAAGTTTTTAGTAGCTGTTTTGATCCTGAATCTTTACAAAGGCAGTCTCCTTCGAAACTTGTTAAACAAAGACCTTTAAATTAACATTCTAGTTTCCCTATACTTCGCTTTCTATTAAGTTTTTCCTCCAAAATAATCATTTTGCTTTGGAAACCTAAGAGGAAAAAAAAATCAGGCAACAATGCATGCCCAAAATATTAAGATCAGTATTTCTGAAAATAAAACCCAAGACACTTGTAAGAGAACCCTGGACTCCACCCAAAGCTATCAAATTAGAATCTGAGGGCAGAGGCCCATAAAGATGCATTTTTAAAAAAAGATACTAGAATCCTTTTTTTTTTTTTTTTTAAGATTTTATTTATTTTCAGACAGGGGGAAGGGAGGGAGAAAGAGAGGGAGAGGAACATCGTTGTGTGACAGAAGCAGTTGGTTGCATCTCACACACCCCCATCTGGGGACCTGGCCACAACCCAGGGATGTGCCCTGACTGGGAATCAAACCGGCGACCTTTTCGTTTGTAGACCAGCACTCAATCCACTGAGCCACACCAGCCAGGGCCGAAACCACATTTTTAATAAGGTCCTCTGCTGATTAGTATGCACCCTAACGTAGGAACTCCACTGTTTTTACAAATCCTTATACTGATAAACATTAGTAAGTGTGTTCTTACTGTAATCTCACGCAGAATGAATTATACCTGTCCCAGGAAGTGTGACTACTCTGCCCTCTGGTGGTGGGTATGACAAACAGAAGGCTTGTGTCTTTGGTTTGCTTTTTATTCAAAAGAAAAGCTCAATTAAAAAAGAAAAAAAACTACCATTTTATTGGGAGGGAAGTTTCCCAATTTTGTAACTGTAGCAAAGCATAGCTGCCTGAATCCCTAACAGAGCAGTAGCAGGCTGTCTGACACCTTCAAGCTCTGTTTCTTTCTCAGGTCCCCGGCCTTCAACTTAGTAAGCCTACAGCATTTCTTGGTAATGGTCCAGAACACACATTAAAGAGAGCAGTTTGGATGAACCAAAACAAAGGACTCCATTCACCTCAGGCCACAGTGTAGCAAATGCAAGAAAGAGCAAAGAAAATAAAGTAGTTCAGTAAAGTCTACAAACCTTAAACCCCTTTAAAATTCATTTTCATTTAGGTTGAACACCAAGTCCTTTCCTTTCCAACTGATGGACCCTTCCACTCTTCTTCAAGCCCAGTCAAGAAGGGTGAAAGCTTTTGTGCAGTCAAATATATGAGAACAGCATCCCCCAAAGGCACCGCTGTAGGATAAGGAATCCTTAGGGAGTGCAACAAGTTAACTGGCCAACACTGCTAAGTACTTTATAATTTGATAATGAATTAACACTGTTTATATGGCAGCACATACAAATCTGTCAACATTCCATCAGGACATACGGTTTTATATTTAGAATGGTACCATAAAAATATACTTTGGCATTGCAATCAGCTCTCCTGGGGATAATCGTCTTTACTTGTGTCTTCGTTTTAAAATTTCACTTATTTTTTCCCACAAAATTATTGGGCAAGAGAAATAAATCTTATCTGATTATTTGAGACAATTTTTTGAAAGCCTTAAATTAGTTTTATGTTAGTAAGTTCCCTTCCCCCTATAACCAAATGGTCCTGTATGATATTTTTAAAATTTAAAATTTTTTTCAATTACAGTGTAT